CCCCCTTTAGGGGCCAATAGCCACTCCTAGACAGCAGGTGGCATTGGTTGGTTGCATGTGATGAGCTGTCAGAGACACAAAGCAGGAAATTCCTAAAACAAGATGGGGTGGTTGTGGGTGATTTTATATTTCCAAGTTATCTGTCACCCAACACTCCCTTGGAGAATCCTCCCTTTGTACATCCTTCCAGTAGCTCTGGACATTTGCCACCCCTTGTAAGACATAATGAAAAGGATCTAAATCAATTCTAATACATGTTTGGAATGTGAGCAGCATGGAACCATATAACAGAGTAAATTGAGATAGTGAACTCTAAATTCAAGAAGATAAGTTTAAATACTACCTCTGCCATAATATGATAATTTAGGGAAGATAATTAACCTGTCTAGATGTCAGTTCTTCTAACTGTAAAATGGAAATAATAACAACCCCTCTTGGGCTGTTGGGAGGATTAAGTGAGATAATGTGTATGAAGCATGTACTCAATGCCCAACACATAATAATCAATAAATATTAGTAAACATTATTTACTATTTTTCATTGCTTAAAATGATAGTAACAAAAACATGGAAACTGCTGATAATATAAGTTGCAATGAGAATTCAAGTTTTAAACTAATTTTCAACAAAGGATATAGAATGAAAAGAAAAGCTGAAAAGCAGGATACCAAAATGTTAATGGAGTGTTGGGGCCTTGGGAGTGATTTTATTTGCTTATTTTGTATATTTTTTTATATTTTGTAAAATGTGCATGAATAATTTATAAATAAGACACTTTAATACTGTGAAGTAATACTGAATGCTTGTCTTCTTTAAATTAAAATTTGTTTTATAATTTCTTATTTACATTTAATTGTGCATCATCATGGGGTATGATATATCTTTTCAAAGCATATATACAGTGTGTGAGAATCAAATAAAGGAAAATAACATATTTATCATTTTTAACAAAGAATACCACATTTTGATGTGTGCCATTAATTTCTGCTGTGCTAGTTTTCCCTTCTTTTTTGAGATAGATTTGTATAAGATTGGTAATGTCTGTTTTTTTCACTTAGTAACGCTTCTCTTAACTTAGTTTAGCCTTAGAATAGAAGAACATTTTCATTAGTAAACGAGAACATAAACATCATTCTAATATCATTTAGGCCTCTGAAAATAGAGCCGATAATGAATTTTTAGATCCTATTTCTCTAAATTCCCGAGAATATTTCAACATCCACCTGTGGCTAAGGTGCCGCTTGGTATTGGTGACTGCATTTGTCGCACAGATTCGTGGCATTGGAATCATGAAGGGTAAGAAATATCATTTCTTTAATCAATATTTACAGAAAAGTTAATTTTATATAAATAAAGGGAGTTTTATTAGAATACATTTGATCGTAATGCCAACATTTTATAACTTTCCAGCTTGATCAATTTCCAGAATTAAAAATTTGGGTTATTAAATGGAATAATTGTTTTGGGTAATCCTTGGTATCACTGCAAGTGGCACGTATTACCAATATAAGCATAAGAGACAAAGAGATTTCAAAACACTGATGTCCAGCTCTTCTTGTCACCCAGAAAGGTAGCTGAGTGCTAGGGTGAAGACTACACCCCACTTGGGTTCTAATGTTAGATTCACCACTTCCTTGCTTAGTCTTTCTTGACAAAGCCTCTTAATCCCCCTGTACCTCATTTTTCTGCTCTGTAAAAAATGAGATAATGGTACTTCCTTCATAGCATTATTGTCAGAATTAAATGGATTACATTTGGAAAGTTCTTAGATCTCAGCATACATAAACATTAGTTCTTACAGTGATTAATAATGACTTATTTAAGGGCCAGCAGGTGGCATGATGATTAAGGGCACTAGACTCCCACATGGCTGACAGTGGTTCAAGTTCGGACCTGGTGGCTTACTTTCTCACTTTCCCTCTCTCTCTTGCTCTCTCTCTCTCGCTATGTCCCTCTCTGATCCAATTAAAAAATAAGTGAATAAATAAAGTTAAATAAAATAATTATTTAAAGATAATTATTTATTTGTATATTCATCCATCCATCTCTATTTATCTCCTAAATTATATTATTTCATGTTGTAGTATTATCATATTTCTGTTTCACATTTTTTTAAGAGAGATTTTTTTTCTATAGAGCATATGTGCTCTCTGGAGAGACAGAGAGACACAGAAAGTGAGGAGTCACTCCCGAGGAGGTTTGGCCACACTGCAATCCCTTCTCTTCCATTCTCCTCTTGGAATTCTGGGCATGCACACACATGTGCCTGGCATGAGTTTAAGCTGCCAGGTCAGGGACTCAAACAGCAGACAGCTATGTGGGAGTCCAGTGACGTACCCATTACACCATCCACTAGTCCCAAGTTTTACCTTTTTAAAAAAGTTTTATTTAATTTCTGTGAGAGAGAGGGAGTGAGAGAGACAGGCGCCCTTGGCAATGTCTTCATGCCACAACACTTTCCTAGCCCTGAAGTCATCCAGGACCACAGGGAAGCCCTGCATGTTGAGGCTAAAGTAAATGTTTGTGGAAAAATGTAAAAATAAATAAATGAAAGAAAAAAAAAAGAATTTAATTACTAAACCAAGCTGAATATGTATCAAAATTAATTTTTAAATAAAATATAAAGAGTGTTAACCTTAAAAAAAAAAATCTTCTGACATGGTCTCCAGGATTGCACAGCAGTGCCCTTACTGCCTGTGCCATCATGGCTGGGCCTCCTGTATGCTTTTGCAGCATTTGAATGCCGTAAAATACATACCTTCCCTTAATCTACAACACATTTCTTTACCATGTTCCATGTGGAGTCTTATTTGCTTCCTGTCTTAATAGCTTCTTGTTTTTGATATCACAAAATATTCTTATGACCCACATCGAAGACATTATGCATATATGCTTGCTTGCTTATTCAATGTATTTTATATATTCACATTGGTTTATTTTAGAGAATGATATGACAGATTGTGTGAGCCTCATCAATGAAGTGTGCATGGAGGCCAAAGCTGCAGAAGACATAGAGCTGCAGGCTGAATTCTTGATGCAAGCTGTAATCCTTGGCCTGCAAGAAAAGCACTTAAAGGCAGACATCATTACAAAACTTCAGGTAGGAAGGAAACCTTGGTTACATTTATATTGAGAGAAATTAGAACAGAGAATTCCAAATTTCTTCAGGTAGTGAATGCATAACAACAAACACGGCCAGCTCTTGTTTCAGTGAATCGGAAACAGTTCTATCAAAAATAATAATTTTATTTTAATAGGATATAATACATTTGCTTGAAAGAAATGAGTTTCTTTCTCCTCGATCTTGGTTAACTCTGGCAAGAAGCCTAGTTTTGCTGGATGACTTAACAAAAGCTGAGAAATTCAAGGACTCGCCCTCTTCCAAAGCAGAAAAAGTAAATTTATTGGCTCAGGCTCACAACATTCTTATTGAACAGGTGAGAATACCTTTGTATCCATATGACTTAAGACCTAGAGTTTTATCTTTCTGTCTTTTTCCTTATTCCAACTAGCTAATTGTCCATTGCAATGTTTCTTTCATAGATGTTGACTTTTGGAGAAACAATTGAATATCCTTTATCAAACACTGAATATGCAAATCCATTACAGCCTTTGAAAAATATCTATCTTCCTCATGTCATGTTATTGGCCAAAATAAAAATGAGAATTGGTAAGACATTTAAACATATATTGCACTAGAATCATGAAAAATTTAGTTTTTTTCAGACTATGTTATCAGTACATTTAAAAGGGTCAATATTTACAAATACTCAGATTCCACTTATGTAACATATAGTTTTTGGTCATGCCATGAGCCAGATTCTTTGTGATAAATGTATGGTCTTTATGTATGATTAAAGAATGAAGTTGACTACAGTAATTATAACATGTATAACTACTTGTTTTGGGCTACTGTGCTGTCTCTAGCTAAGCAGCTGGATTAAAACTATATTCAGATAGCATACTTTAACGTTATTGTACATTTCAGCAACTATACTGAAAAAAATCTTATAAACACTTAATACAAGTACATTTCTTACATAAAATAATTTTTACCCCCTAAATTATTATTTTAAATAATTATTTTTTATTTAACTTTATTTATTCATTTATTTTAATTTGAGCAGAGAGGGACAGAGAGAGAGAGCGAGAGAGAGGCAAAGTGAGAAAGCAGGCTACCAAGTCCAGGTCTAGAACCATGGTCGGCCATATAGGAGTCCACCCCTTAACCACCAGGCTACCTGCTGGCCCTGTACCCATGAAATTATTATCTGTCTTCTTTAAATTTATGACAAACTGGTAAAGGTGATTTGGGAGAAGAATATATAAAAATGCAATATGTCTTATTGATTAACTTTAAAAATATTGAACTTAATGTTTATGAGGAAAAAATAGTTTTAATACATATATCAATAAAGATGATATTCATTGTTTTCTAATTTCCCGTAACTTATTTGTAAAATTTTAAGAAATAAATGTGCTTTAAGATTAAGAAATAATCTTATAAATGTGGGAATTGGCAAAAGTCTTTGTATTTTTTATGAAACAAAATATTTTAAAGGTACATACAGCATCTTATATTCCCTCATAATGCACTAGCTAACATCTTAAATAGTGAATTTGCTAATAATAGTTTAAAAAATCTCAGATGGATAATATAGTAGTTTCCCAGTCTGTTCACTCCTGCTTATTCATCGTTTCATCCTGCAGTCAACTGTGGCCCAAAAATATAAAATGAAAAATTCAAGGAATAATTTGTGTTTTAAATTATGTAACATTTTGGTTGCATGATGAAATTTTGTACTATTCTACTTTGTACATTCAGAATATGAATTATCCCTGTGCCTGGCATGTATTGGCTACCCACCTGTTAGGTACTCAGTAGTGGAGGGAGAGGCCTGACACAATAGCGACCTTTAGCACATGCAGAAACTCTGTTCTATGGGCTGTTATTTACAGGGCTATATGAATGCCATTAACATATGAATATGCTAGCTGCCTCTGTGTTTGAAACTGCAAAGCAGTATCAAAAGAAGCCACATGTGTTAATTAGAAAAGGCCCAAGAAGAGAAAACTTACATAGAACTACATGGCGCCAGATGTCTTCACATCTTCAGCCGATTAAAATCTGAAAACAACTGATTTTGTATTCCACTTCTCCTTTCCCCCTTTCCTGCCCTTTGAAAGAATAAACCTGGGTACAGTTCAGGACTGCAGCTGCCTCCATCAGAGGAGTCAATATTCTCAATTTCCACTTTTCTCTACTTGTGTCTTTGTGTATTTATTTTTATGTTTATTTTCTAGTCCACAGTTGCCCTCACTCAGAGCACATGTTCAGCCTTGCAGTTCATGGCACAGTAATATCTTAATTATTAGTAGTTTTAAGCATCCACTGGGGATCTTAAAACATACTCCTGTGGATAAAGGGAGACTATTGTAGAGTTTCCGTGCAGTAGAAGAACTGCGTATCGGTCTTACTGACCTTTACATGCTGAGACCTTTGCAAAGTCAATTACTTCAGGCTCCGTGTGCCTCACTTCTGTAAGGGCAGCAGCCTTCCTCCTTCTTGGAGCCAGTTTCTCAGCCTGGCTTCAGCTCACAGTTCATCTTGTTCTTTTATCATTATTTTATTTTTAAATTTAATTTTCAGAGAGAGATTTTTGTTCTAAGGCATGTGCTCTCACTGGAGAGACAGAAAGAGAAAAACAAAAAGCTAGAAATCACCCTCCAGGGAGATGGACATGCCACAATCCCTTCTCTACCACTCTCCTCTCAGGATTTTGGGCTCACATGCACACACACACAGCATGTTTTTTCTTTTTGTTTTGTTTTTTTTTTTTTGTTTTTAGAGAGGTTTTTTTTTTGTTACAGGGGAAGTGCTCTTGCCAGAAAGACAGAGAGAGACAGAGAGACAGAAAGTGAGAAATCACCCCTCTAGGGGGATGGCCACACCACAACCCCTTCTCCTCCCTTCTCCTCTTGAGATCTTGGGCACATGCACACACGCCCGGCGTGAATTTAAGCCACCAGGTCCAGGACTCTCACCGTGGTTGTCCACATGGGAGTCCAGCGACATAGCCATTATGCCAACTTCTGGTCTCCCAGCATCAATTTTAAGCCACCAGTTCTGGGACTCGAACCATGATCGACTACATGAGAGTACAGCAAAGTAACCATTATGCCATCTTTTGGTCCCCAGTTTATCCTGTTCTTGCAAGAACCTTGCTTTAAGCTGCTCTCATTTATCTTCTACCCTCCTTACTCAGTATGTTCATTTCCCTTGTTCTCTCAGTATGTATGTTAAAATCTCCAATTGTAAGAATCTAGACTGAAAAACATACAAACAAATACAACAACAAACTCTCCTTAAGCCTCTCTCATTCACATCTGCTTCTAGCCAGGCTCCTTAAGGGTGGATTCTGCTTACTCTCTTCCCTTTTCTCACTTGCCTATGTTACTTTCTCCTCTGCAGTATTTTACATTGCTGGTATCAGTCTCCACTTCTAGAATCTTTGCTCCCTTGACCTTTGCATCAACAGGCACAGTGTTCTCTTACTTGTATTTTACTTTTCCATTCTCAGTCCTCAGGCAAAACCTCTAATTCGCTCTTTAATACCCAGATCACCTGTCTTTTCTCTACAAGAGGCTCTTACCTGTTTTCCTTATAGGCTGTTCCCAGTTAGATGAGATCTTTAGATAAATTTTATTTCCTACTTTATAATCCCCAATCCCAGTAATTTCTGCATTTGGGCAAGTGATGCTGCTCTTCCTTTCTTCCTTTACAGTTTTTTTCTCTTTCAGTTTCTTTTCTGCTTCACAGATTATTGATTGAATCTTTTTTTCTTTTTCTTCCTTCCTCCTTTTTCTTTTATTATTGTTCTTAATAGTGTTTTCTTCAGATGGAGTTCCTAGCTGATATTCTCTGTGAATCTTAGCTCTCTGCAAATACTTTTTTCCCCTCTGACAGGTAAAAGATGTCCTGTCTCATTTCAGTATCAATGTTTTTTTTTCTTTTTTTCTTTTTTTCCCATTCTTTTTTATTATTTTTTATTTTAAATTTATTCATTTTCTACATTAATTCACTATACACCATCACAACACACAAATGAATTTTCCATCCAAAATACACTGTGCATTGGCTCAATCAAGCACATCAACATACAAGTTCTCAGCAAATAATTTTCCAATTCAGTATCAATATTTTGAGGTGTGGCCTCTTCTCTCAGGATTTAATAGATGTTATCCCATCATTTATAGCATTGAATACTGCAAATGAGAAATGCAGAGTCATTTTAATTTTTATTTTCTCTAGTAAAAATTTCTCCTTTTGTCTTTGTAGTTTAGGAATTTTACCAGCATGTACCTGGGTCTCTTCCTTCTCTTCCTAGAACTTAGTAGCTCTCTCAGCTTACTTTGTCAGCTTATTGTGGTTCAGGCCAAGCTGTGGTATTAACTGTAGCAGTAGCAATGCTGCAAATGGTGATAGAATAGTTGGTTCTGCTTCTGCAGGTTGGATCTGCGCCAGTGTTTAAGAGTTCAGTTCCTGTTTTAGGCAACAGGAGAAGTGACAAATGCCAGCATTCTTTATCTTCAGGAGTATTGAGGACTCTGGCTGTCTTTAGGTCCTTTATGGTACATTAGAAACCAAGGAAAAAACGAACTAGAGCTTGAGCTGACCTCTGAAGCTCAGATATATCATTTCAAACTCCCTCTAGGAATCTGGCTGTGATCTTTGACCTAAAGGTGCCTGTCTCTGGTTTCCAGGCTCTTTTCCAGCTCAGAGTGTAATAATTCTTTCATTTAGCTCTGTCTGCTGTCTGTCTGTCTATCTATCTATCTATTTATTTATTTTCATTTGACCAAAGAGGGACAGACTGAGAGAAAGAGAAAGAGAGGGAGGGAGGGAGAGGGGGAGGGAGAGAGAGAGAGAGAGAGAGAGAGAGCTGTCAGGCCCGGGACTTGAACTGCAGTTGGCCATGTGAAAGTCCCTCATCCTTAACCACCATGCCACCTGTCCACCCCTCTGTGTATTATTTTTTTTTCTTTCATTTATTTATTTTTACATTTTTCCACAAACATTTACTTTACATAGCAAAAAATTTTAGCTCATAATCCATAATTCTTGACAGCTTACAAACAACTCTCAAAATTTCAAAATACTGAATTTTAAAGATAATGTTCAAAATGTCTTATAATTCTGTATACTTTTATGACTCTATAACAACAGAAGCAGTATGGTTTCAGATATATATATATACATATATATATATATATATTTTTTTTTTTTTAGAGTATAGACACCTCTGTGCATTCTTAACCATCCTCTTTTAGGACCGATCTGCCTCCTACGTTAGCAGCAGTTCAGTACAGGAGCACCAATGGCTGGATCGGATTCCAGATATTTCTCCCTTATCTTCCTCCTGCTCTCCCTTTTATTATTGATCATTGTTTTTATATGATAATCCTAGTTATCAGATATGAGCTTTATTATTTGATTTAAACTACTTCACCATGTATTATTAAATTTCCTCATTTGTGAGGTTAGGTTAATTTAGTGGCCTCTCAAATTCTTCACAGTTTGCTGATCTCTGAGATGTTTTTCTGTATTTTTATTCCGTAATTTGTTATATTATCGGGATGTTTGATTTCTACAGAAACTTAAAGTACACACTGTGTTAAATCGTACAGATTGTGTTAAATCAAATGTATTCTCTGCTTTTGTGACTTACTAATCTTGAAGATGTGTCACCACTCAATGACAATACTGTTTCTGTTTTTTAGAATCATTTGAAGCTGAACAGCTTGCTTTCTGGTGTAGTATATTAAATACAGACTTAAAAAACAAAACCCAAAGCAGCTTTTCTGTCAAAACAACGTCAGTTTCACAACTTCTCTTTCACAGAGTCAGTGTTTACTGGAAAAAGAAGCACTTCAATATTATGAAGCCCAGAATCATCTGTGACTTGATGCTTTCTCGGCAGTTTTCCTTTATAGTATAGATCACATCACCAGACTAGTCACTTAAAATTTGTTTTTCTCTGTGAAAGCCTCTGATAGAAATAGGCATTTAAAGATTATTTTTATAAAACAAAAGTAAGCATCATGATTAAGATTATTTTCCCCATTAGTATCTGAGCCTTGAGCTTCCTTACCAGATGAAAAAGTAGATTACTGATTATATAAAAGGAGTGAAAGAAAATCACTTAAATTTCTTACACTACTTAAATCAGTAAATATTCATAGAGGAACTCTTGGGTGCAAGAATGATGCTGGGAAAGTAGGGACATAATAGGGAGCCAGGGACCAGCAGGTGGCGTGGTGGTTAAGGGCTCTGGACTCCCACACAGCTGACTGCAGTTTGAGTCCCAGACCTGGCGTCTTGCTTTCTCACTTTCCCTCTCTCTCTTGCTCTGTCCCTTTCTGGTCAAATTAAAAATAAATAAATACAGTTAAATACAATAATTCTTTTTAAAAAAAGAAAAACATATGGAACCAGTCATCTTTTTCTGCCCTCCAAAAGCCTATCAAATAGTACAGGAGAGTGAGAAAAGTCAATAATTTCTGTGTCACTTCTAGTCTAAAAAAATCTAGACAACAATTATTGTTATATATTAGCACTATCTTACTTATAGTATTGTATATTTTATATATATATATATGTGAGTGTGTATATATATATACACCCACATACACACGTATATGTGCAGGGGTTTTCAAAAAGTTTGAGGAAATCCTGCATTATGAAAAACTGCATGGATTTCAAAAATTTTTTTCAACAAAGTAAACATACTTTAAGTCCATTCTCCACAAACTTTTTGAAGTCCTCTTGTGTGTGTGTGCAGTGATGACATGAAGATAGCTGATATTTTTATCTTATATTAATAAACAGCTGTGATATAATTCAAAACAATTAGTGAACATATAAAAATGGGAGATATATTGTAATATGAGGTTGTATTGAGCAAATGGCATTAGCATATGTTTTTTATTACCCTTCTTTCCTGGAATCTAATCACAATTGTTAAAACTGGGTTGTCAGGAAAGTGATGATGCAGTGTTGCCTAGAAAAATACCATGACTTTCCTGACAACCTATTAGTTAGGGTTAAGGGTGTCAACCCTGGGGAAAGAAATCTTCGATTTACTTGAACAGATACTTTAGCTTCCCTGTGTTTCTGTTTCCTCTCCCATAAAATGTGGAGAAGTATCACTGGTATGTTGTGGGGTTAAGGAGTGATACATGTAATGTGTTTAGAAGGACACCTGACTTTGTGTGAGAGCTTTACAAGTGTGAGCTATTCTTACTGTTCCATGCCTAGCCTCCTCCCTCTCCTGGGAACATCCTAGAGCCAACCTTGGCTTCTCCCTCTCTCTAGTCTTAGCAGTGTACTATCGTCCTGCTTGGTCTAGAGTAAGGGCTCAGTAAGTTTTCCCTGGAAGAGAGAAAGAGAAATGGAGAGAGATTGAGACTTTCTTCATCATCCTGCCATTTGTGCAGCATATTACTGAACTAAAAATTTAGAGTTTCAAAAACTCTTTGTTGGTATAGCAGCTTGGAATTGGAATTAAAAAATAAAATAAAATCAGAACCTAAAGGGAACTCAGCTGTTTTCCAGTTCTGCTGCTTCATTTTTTTTTTTTTTTTCAAGGTGTAGAAGCATGTAGTTAGGGACTTGTTCAGAGCTTCAAATGACATGGCAGCCACAATGACGGGTCAGGATTAAAAAATAAAATAAAATCAGAACCTAAAGGGAACTCAGCTGTTTTCCAGTTCTGCTGCTTCATTTTTTTTTTTTTTTCAAGGTGTAGAAGCATGTAGTTAGGGACTTGTTCAGAGCTTCAAATGACATGGCAGCCACAATGACGGGTCAGGAATCAAGAGTTCAGCTAGAAGCTAGCATCTCTCTTCTGCACTTCTACACTGCCTTTCTGTTTATCTTTTTTTATTGCATGTGTTCAACTATTCTGTCAATCTAGCATTTCTTCCAGATACCTTCTATTTTTTGTCCCAGCATTTTTCCTCTTTAGAACAAAGACGAAGTGATCATAAGCTATTGACCAAGATAACTGTTCTCTGGGAACATTTCTCTGGCCTCCCTCAGATCTGAGCTGGGGCTCCTGTGACCTGCTACCACAGTGCCTGTGCTTTTTCTGCTGCTCTGTTAACCACACAGTACTTTGATGTTCTTTTTTTGCTGTTTATATTTGTTATTAAACTCTGAGCTCCATGATCTTGCCCTGAAGAAGTGATGCAGCATTACACTGCAGGATGTGGGCCCTGGAACCAGACTGCCTAGGTGCACATTATGACTCCTCTATTTTAGCAAATAGCATGTGCCCTGGGGAAAGGGGCTTAAAGTGCATTGAGCCACTTCTTTGTCCTCTGTCAGATGAATGTAATCATGATGCCCACTCAGACTTATGAGGCTCACATGTACTTGAGATGGTATCTGGCATGTAGGAAACATTAAATAAGTTTTAATTCTATTACTCCTTTTCTCCTGTTATTCTAGTATCTAAGCACTCTGAAAATATTTACCAAGTACATAATTGTCTGTCTGTCTTGTCTTTGAGGTCATGCAGATTAAGTCTAACGCTTCTTGCATATACTAGTCCTCCACTATGTTAAGTGATGATGGGACCACATAGGAATGATAGAATGTGGCACTTGTCCATGATGATCTAGCTGTCTAGATGGAGTGACAAAAAGTGCACTGCAAGTAACCACTTCAGTGCTTAATAGAAAGGAAATTACTGCCTATTAATATATGCAAATTTTATTAGGAACAGTATAAAACCTCCAGATGTTTCCCTACTAATAGCTTCATCCCAGGAAAATGAAAGTTGTTTTGCAGAGCATTGTGAAATTTTAGAACAGCAAAATAAGCAATCATGTTGGACATTTACTGAAGATAAAGTTTCAAAGGCTTACTATGGCAGTTAATTGAAATATTGGGTATTGTGCTGCTGCTGCTGCTGCTTCTTCTTCTTCTTCTTCTTCTTCTTCTTCTTTTAAGTTTTTGCCATAGGATATGAGTACTTGCCAGAGAGAGGAAGAAAGAGAGAAATAGAGGGAACCAGCAGTTAGTGTAATGGCTATGTCACTGGACTCCCATGTAGTCAACCGCGGGTCGCGTCCTGGACCCGGTGGCTTAAAACTCACGCCGGGGGCGTGTGCGTGTGTGCCCAAGATCCGAAGAGGAGAATGGAGGAGAAGGGATTGAGGCATGACCATCCCCTCTGGGGGTGATTTCTCACTTTCTGTCTCTCTGTCTTTCTCTGTCTGGTGAGCACACGTGCCCTATAGCGAAACCCTCTCCAAAAAAAAAAAAAAAGAGAGAGAGGGAGATAGAGATAGATAGAGAGAGAGGGTGAAAAATCACCTCCAGCAGGGATAGCCACAACACAATCTCGTTTCTTCCATCCCTCCTAGGGTTTTGGATGTGTACTCTAAGACACCCTGCATGATTTGCAAGTCACCAGGTCTGGGACTCAAACCATGGTCGGTCATGTGGACCTCCAGCACCTTAACCACTAAGCAATGTGCTGGCCCCAAGGGTATTGTCTTTCTTAAAAACGTTTCATGGATGCTAAAAATTGTGAAAACCACCAGAATTTTCATTGATGCCATTCCTGTGAGCAAGAATGGTAACTTGGAGGCTTGTTTTGAACACTGAAAATTTTATTATTCCCTCCCTACCCAACTGTTTTTGTTCTAGGACATACCATGGCCAAACAAGTATATAATAACAGTAGAAGAAAGAGCTCCTTTAAGTGGTTACCAGCTCTTCATCTTTTTGAAATGGCATTGAAGCTCTGTAAGATATCAGCAAAAGAGGAACATGAGGTGGAAGCTGAAATTCTTTTTCAGAAAGGTAAGATGCATTTGGGCTCAGAAAGGTAAGATGCATTTGGAGTCAGATAAAGTTTATGGAATTTTCTTCCTATTAACAATAAGCTTCTTGAAAATCTGGTCACTGGCTTTGAAAGTTATACATTTTACAAAGGACTTAGTGATGACATATCGGAGAATCTGCCAAACTCAGTTTTGGATAAAAGAACACTGCTTGTTTTAAGTTTATACCTAGAAAGAACAAAGTACCACTACTTGGCTTCCTTCATAATTGTTAAGTGACCATTTTTATTACAAAGTTTCATATTTGACTAAAAAATATCAGCATCAACCAGTTAGCTTAAATGAATGCTACTTAATGCTTGATAGACTGTTTTTCTGCATCATTTTATTATATAGCTAAACATTTTGGTTGATTTCTTTAAGAGATACATATCCATTAAAACTAAGTAGCGACAGCATACCTACAATTTACAACTTATGTACAACACCTGTGTATAATACGTTTATATAATTTGACTGTGGCATTTTATCCATGAGGAAAACAAAAATAATTATTGGTATCATCTACTAGATGCTAGGCCTTGCAGTCAGTATTTTATATCTCATATTGTTAATTCTTTTAAAAAGTTTATTTGTTCCATAAGAGGAATAGACAGAGACCAGTAGACAAGGGAGAGAGACAGGTACCTCCAATGGGGTCTTCACACAGTGATCCACCCCCAACCTACACTAGTCTAGGTCACGGGCATGGACATATACGCACAGCATGTACAGAAAGACCCCAAGGTGAAAACTGGGGACCTTCTCAAGTGGACCTTGTTGTGCTAATGCCATGCTGCCATCTGGTCCCCATATTCCTATAACAGATCTACAAGCTGGGCCTGACTAATCCCAGCTGACAGATGAGGAAAATGAGATGCTGTCTGGATAAGTAACTTTCCAAAAGTCAGCCATTACTAAATGCCACTGCCCAGATACGAACTCAATACTGGCCAGTTGCAGTATATATAAATAAATAAATAAGTATCTTAGTATACACTTATCCTTTAATGACACATCATTTCAATACTTTAGCTATTAGGAATAATGTTGTGACAAACATGAGAATAATATTTTTTAATAATACCTGCAAAGTAGACAGAGGAAAGAGGAAAATGGATGTCATAAAAAGGAATAAAAGATACAGGAGGATAGAGAAGAACAGAGTAAAGGAAGAAAAGTAAGTTGGTAAGACCAGTTTTGAGTCAGGACAACCAAGGAGTCTTGACTCAATTGGTCACTGAAGGCAGGAGGAGCCTGAGACTCAAGAAGGAAGAGGATCTTTTCCTTATTGACTTATCTTCCATCAAGGAACAGACAGACAGGTGCATCTTACATCACTGGGCTCCCACATAGCTGACTGCAGTTTGAGTCTTGGACCTGGTGGCTTGAAAGTCATGCCAGGCAGGCGTGTGTGTGTGTGTGTGTGTGTGTGTGTGTGTGTGTGCCCAAGATCCCAGGAAGGGAATGGAGAAGAAGGGATTATAGCATGGCCATCTCCTCTATAGGGTGACTTCTCAGTTTCCCTCTCACTGTCTCTGTCTCTGTTTCTCTGCCCTGTGAATTCACACAACCTATAGCAAAAACCTTTTTAAGAAAAAGAGATAGCATGTCCTGTTTTCTAAACTTCCAGCATGAAATAGTTGTTCTTAAGATCTGGATGATAGAAAAAGGAAAAAAAAATCTTTGTATATCTTTCTCTTCTTTTAGGCAAAATAGAACGTCAGATAATAATGGAAGACAAATCTCCAACTTTACAATTTGAGAGTTTACTTGATGCTATACAACTAAGCTTGAAAAATGATCAAAACTCAGGGTAAAAAAATATATATATATATATTTCCATTGTTGTAGTAAGGTGTGTGTTTGGTGTGATCCCCATGTTGTGATAATACATTGAATATTCAGGGCTGGAAGGAATTAGATGCCTCTTCATGATAGGGTTAGTTCATTGAGGTCCATTGTCCCAACAGGTTTAACTGACTTCCTTTTGAAGCTTTTTGCTCTTGGCTCTGGCTCAAGACTTCCTTTACAATAATGGCAGATGATGCCAGCACAGTGGTATATTGGACTGAGTTGTTTCTAGCCGGTACTCAGATCTCCTATCACTTCCAGGATTGCTGGTGCCTCTCATGCATTTCTGGCTTCTAAACCAGAAGATCCTTCCTTTAATGTAAAATATCTAGAGGGAATTTATGTGGATATTCAATAGGGTCATCAGTACCAAAGCTGGCTATCATACTTCTGCATATAAGTCATCTCAATATTGAAAATAAACCACCATTATTACAACCACACTAAATCAAGTGGCCCCAACTTACAGGTTTGATAGGGAATACACAGACCTCACTGATACCAGATCGTTGCTTTCTGCAGAACTCTGTGTCCTTCCATTTCAATTAGTGTAGAAAGGTCTGTTCCTCCAGTCCTGACCTTCATTTCTTTATGCGTTGTGTGCTGGAATATTCCAGAATGGTTTTAGTGTTGGGCTTCATGGCAGTCCTGGTATGGAGTGTTGCCAGCACAGGACATAGTGGAAGCCTTATCTTTCTCCATGAGGTTCCAGTTTTAGTAGAGAGAAAGGTGATGGTATCTATGACCAAAAGTGGTATGAAAAGACAGTGTGAGTTTGAGACAGATGCTGGTTTTGCCTATTTCATTTTTCATCAGCTCAGAAATGATTAGTTATGATGCAAATGATTGTAAGTGTTAAAGTTATTTAACAAGTACAACACTTTGTCATTTTAGATTGATAAGAGATTCTTACCTAGAAATGGCCCTATTATATTTTCATATGAGGACCCCAAAGAGAAAAGTTTCAGCATCACCATTAGTACTTAAGGTAATAGCCTATTTTATTAGAAATTATAAGTTAATTGCTTTTGAGCTTGCTATTTTGGTAACACTGTGCTATTGAAATAATGAGACTAATTTTCCTGTATGACTTAGAGAAATTAATGTATTACTTTATAGTCACATTGGTATTTAGATACCTCTGAGCATTTTATGTAGGGCTTTAAAATTGATTTTATGTATACATTCTTTCTTGTTAAAATGTTGGGTTTTTAGAAGTGTATTCATTTATTTCTTTTATGAATAAAAAAGAGAGAGAGGGAGACAGAGAGACAATTCTCCCAGATAGGATCTTAATACTACAGTCTACCCCTAACTTCAGCCAATCCCAGCCCATAGGCACACACATAACTGGTGTACTCAGGTGAGTTCCCCGAATGTGAACTTGGAACCTTTCCATGTAGATCAGTCTCAAGGTGTTGTTTTACTGTTCTGCCACTGTTTGGCCCCAACCTGTTAAAATGTTATCCATGAAATGTAGGTCTCTGTAAATATTCTTAGGCAATTAGTATAGAACAAGAAAGTGCAGGAAATGAAATGTTGGTATGTTGGTTGAACACATGGACAAATAAGGTTTTAAATACTGATATGGCCTATAAACAGATGATCCAGGCTATTCCAGATGAGATCACTATTCCAGAGGAAGGTGATAAAGCAGTGTCTAAGATGAATTCAGTCCCTATTCTCATGGAACATGCCTTCCAGTAGAGGGCGCAGACAATAGACCAGTAAAGGAACAGAACCAGAGGAAGAAAGGTGGGAGGGAACAAATGAGAAAGAGGGGAAAGGGAATGGTAGGTTATGAAATTTAGTATTAGGAAATAACTTAGATTGGCGTGTTGTGAGTGAATGTGGTAGGAAGAGGTGACATTCAAGGTAGGATCTGATGGATGAAGTGGGAAAGAGGTGCAGAGGCAAGCACAATTTAGAGTAGTGTTTCCAAACTAATGGAGCAGAGACAACTCCAAAGATCTTGTGAAATGATAAATTCCGATTCAGTAAATCAGGGATGGGATCTGAGATGGGACATTTCTAATGACCTCCCAGGCAATGTTAATGCTGTTGGCTTGTGGGTTTATACTTAAGTAGGAAAGGTCTAGACTAAGAGAGATCTTAGAGACAGAGATAATTCTGGTGGATTTGAGATTTATGAGTCCAATAGTTTTACTTTATGAAGTTTATGATTACATGAATTAGAAAGTCAGAAAGGGCAGTCCTGGCAGGATCCCGACACTCCCAGGGTCAGTCAGTGCAGATTATGGGCATGGTCATACCCACTCAATGTGCTCAGGGAGATTTCCAAACTTGAATTGGCCATCTCCCCATGTGAATCCATCTTGCAGAGTTTCTAATTTTACCATTGTGCCAACATCCAGCCCCTTATTTTTTACTTTTAAAATTTCAGTAGGCTTTTATATTTTATCCATAATGAATAATTATTTGACCCCCTCAAGAGACCTTTTTATAAAATGTTGGTGTTAAAACTCTAATTTTCGAGATAGCATAAACATGATTTAAAACCTTAAAGCAAATAGACTTTCAGTAAATTGAATTATTCATATGGTAGTAGCCTTAGGTGGATTACATTTTTTTAATAAAAATGATTACAAACTAGAAAAGATTACTTTTTGTAGTGTGATAAACATGTTTATTTCTAGTAAGAGAAATAAAAATTTTTGTTTCCATAGCAAACAGTAATATAAATTAATAATATGCTAAGAAGATTATACATTATTTTTGGCCTTTACTAGAGAAGCATTTATAATTATGAGCATGAAGAAGTTAGGATCTGACTCAAAAGAGTACTATCATTCCATATAATATGATTATTATGTCCCATGTCTTGACACAGTGTATGTTAGCAAGTCACAGAATTACTAGAAGCACAGTGAAACAAATTTCTAGAAGTACAAAAACAAATTAAAAATTCATCTTTACACATTTAGACCATTGAAATGTAGTATTTTAAATGTGTCCAAAAATACATTATAAACTCTTAAAAGAAAGCACTACTGTTCCACTTTTATGTAGCCGTATGGCAAAATGATCATAGCTCTGGTTTAGGTTTGAATTCTAGTTTCTTGACATATGATTGAATGAATGAATGAATGAATGAATCCTAGCTATATGATTGAATGAATAAATCCTAGCTATATGATTTGGGCTTTCCGAAGCCTAATTTATTCATTTGTCAAAAGGAGATAATGAAAACTTACCTCCTAGAGTGCCTAGGAGAATTAAAGAAAACAATGGATTTGCATGTAATAATTATCCCGTTGCCCTCACCATGGAATTATTATTGATCATTATGTGTGTTTGGCTAAACTTCTAATATCTTTCTAAAAGATTTTGCACATGATGGGCATTTGATAATTATTTGTTAGATTGAAGTTATTTTTCTTAGTCCTTTTAGTTACTTTCTTAACTTATGATTTCTGGTTTGCATATATTTGATGTATATCTTTGTGGGGTACAGTATAATATTTTAAAAACATGCATGTAGTCTATAATATGCAGATCTAGGATCTACACATATTCATTTCTTCAGTACTGAATATTACATTATTTTGTGCAAATTAGATAATGGATCTACTAGGGATTATTTTTTAAAATATGTATTAAGTTGTCCATAATTTTTACTGTTATGGTACACCATCCTATTGCCTCTCTCTTATTTACATACATCCTTGTGTTTTTTTGAAATTTTTCTCCCAACTTCCACTATCACACCCCATTAACCAGGTTCTGGTATCTGTCATTTTTCTATTTCTGTGCTTTAAGATCTTCTGTTTCTGCCATTGAGCATAGATATTTGCAATATATTAAGTGGGGACACACTGTATTTGTCTTTCATAGTCTGGCTTATTCCACATAGCGTTATATCTTGTGTCATTTTACAGAAAGTGGTTCACTCACTTTTTATCAAATGACAGGATTTTATTACTCTTTATGGCTGAGTAGTATTCTATTGTCTATGTACCATATTTTCCCAATCCATTCATTGATTCTTGGTCACTTAGGTAGATTCCATGACATAGTTATTGTGAAAATGCTGTAATGTATGTGGTTGTGCAAATGTATCTCTGAGTGACTTGACGTTTTTTGAGTATATACTCAATAGAGGGATTACTGGGTCATACAGTAACTCTATTTTTAGATTTTTTTGAGAAACCTCTACACTGTTGTCTGTAGTGGCTATATATTTCCACCAGCAGTGCCCATGGGTACTCTTTTTTTCTGCAACCTTATCAGTACTTGTTATTTCTGGTTTTTGATCATAGTTAATCTGACGAAGGTTAGGTCAGCAGTCCCCAACCTTTTTGGCACCAAGTATGGGTTTTGTAGAAGACAATTTTTCCATGGACTGTAGGTAAGTGAATGATTTTAGAAGTATAGTTTGCAAATATTTTCTCTCATTCCATGGGCTATTTTTTTTTTCTTTTTAAATGAAGAAGGTTTCATATCTTGTTATAATCCCACTTATCTGTTTTTGGTGTTATTTGCTATGACCTGCATGGCTGAATGCTTTTCCTGAGTGGGAATGACTGTGTATTAGAAATAAATGTAGAAAGAAACACACAAAGACACCTAGATAGAGAAAATCAAGGATTGGAAGGTCTAGACTCTTCTGATGGAGGCAGCCATGGCACCTAGTTTTATTCTTTTAAAGGGCAAAAAGGGGTGATGGGAAATGGAATGCAAAGTCAGTTGTTTTCAGATGTTAATTTACTGAAGCTGGGAAACCTCTGGTGCCTTGCAGTCCTATCTATATGAGTTTTCTCTTACCTTCTCAGGCTTTCTCTGGCTAACACATAGTTTCTTTTAAGGGATACTGCCTTGCGGTTTTGGCACAGAGGCAGACATATCCTTTGTTAAAGGATTTTACTAGCCTTGCAGTGACAGCCCAAAGAACCATGTTTCTGCATGTGTTTAAAGGTTACTATTGTGTTGCTCAGATCCAGTTGCTCCCTACAGTTATCGTCTTTATTTTTAGAGATCTTATTCAAGAAATCTGCCTGCTCCAATGTTGAGAAGTATCTGTCCAGTGTGGACAGAAGTTTGACTACTTTTCCTATTTTTCCAAAATCTTTTTAAAAGGGGACTGGGGAAGTTATGCTCACAAACATTAACAGACCATTTACTTTTTATTAACAGGATTCTTCTTACCTCTTGTCCCTGGCATAGTATCTTTGAGATGTATATTTTAACCGATTAGTGTATTTTTTTGTTTATTTCTTCCCAAGACAGGGTACTTCCCTTTCCTTAAAATGTAGATTAAGCCTTTCTTTAACTAATCTCTTCCCAAGACAGGGATCTTCCCTTCCAATCACCGACCTAAAAATTTGTGAAACCCACCTATAACCTACAAGCTCCCCCCCCCACCCCTTTCTACATGTCCTGCCTTTTTGGGCCAGACCAATGGGAAATCTTTTAATTAAATGTTGTCTGTCAATCTCAAAAGCAAATAAAAAAACCCTCTATACATAATCACCCCAAGAAAAGGCATGTATGCCTCTTCTCTGGCCTAAGTCACACAGTTTTACAGTTGGTTATATTTTTCCGTCGACACCAGTGTTTTACTCCATAGTTTTATGATTTTGAGCTTTTATGTTTAAGTCTTTAGTCCATTTAAGTTAAGTTTTGTAAACAGTGAGAGATAGAGGTCTAGTTACATTTTTCTGCAGGTGGATATTCAGTTTTCCCAGCACCATTTGTTGAAAATACTATCTTTCCTTCACTAGATTGTCTTGTGCTCTGTGTCACATCAGTTGAATGTATGTTGCTGGATTTATTTCTTAATTCCCTGCTCTTTCTTTTTGGTTCATATATCTATTTTCGTGCCAGTACCATGCTATGTTGGTTATTATGGCTTTGCACCAATTTTTTGTTTTTCAGTCAGTTAGTGAGATACCTCCAACTTTACTCATTTTTATATAGTATTATTTTGGTGATTTGAGGGATTTTGTGATTTCAGACAAATTTTGCATT